AAGTAAATATAATCAGCAATCTCCAGTCAAAAAAATATATAGTCAGCAATGAGCTTTCTCTGTTCATCAAAGTACTCATTTCCGGTTATGCTTTCAGTTTTTGGTCACTGGTTTCTCGTGTATACGGATTATAGGGTTTTTGGCACACAATGTTTTCTTACAAACACATGCCATCTTTTATTCACGCACGTCTCTTTTCATTGAGTAAAAAGAGAGCTAATTCTAATTATTGTAACGTAAGATTGTAAGCACGTCTCTTTTCATTGAGTAAAAAGAGAGCTAATTCTAATTATTGTAACATAAGATTGTAAGATTTTATCAGAAGAAAACATTGTGCTTGTTTTCTTCACGAATCTTATTCTGTGAATATGCTGACTTGATAGTTGATGTAATATTACCAACGTGGTAAAAAGAAAAGCCAAAACTGAACCATGAAAATGGGATTGATCTCAGATTTTGCAATAATTGTTACTTTTTTAAGTTGACAGACGTTAAATGTTCATTTATACAAGTGCTCGAATCATATCACCTAGAGAGCGGATAAATTTATGATATGCATATAGCATGGCATCATCATCATAACATATATGAGCATGAGAACTCTCAATTCAGCATGTGATATGACTTTGAATCTTCGGCAGCTCCCATTCTGAGAAATGTTATAATTTACCTAGAGAGAGAGATGAGCATGGGAAAAAGGTAAAGAGAGTACGGGGAATCACGTCATGGATGGCAGGAAAACATGTGAAATAGGGCTCGAGAAAGTGAAAAATGTATTGAGGTGAAATTCAACTCTTTATAGATCAACGCAGAAGCACTCCTGCTATGGGAATCTGAGGAAGATACTACTCAGTTACCAGAACACACATAAATCCACAAATTCTAGTCACCACAACAACGCCTTTAAAGGCACCCCAACACTCTGTTTCTTTCATCTTCTTCTTGCCCAAATCAAGACCAGAAGTTTCTTTTACTAGTTTTCCTACTTGTCACAGGATTGCCGCACCAAGCTAAAGGGCGTGAAACTGAACTTAGAACATAGAATGATGGTTCAGGGTAACTGGAAAGCACCCAATAGAATCCCTCCTACACTATCTTAGGGTTGATTGTTTAAATAACTGATAGTAAATATTTAATCACTAACAGTTGTTTATAATCCAAACACTTTTATTTGTTCAATAACTAACCAAGCAAATCCAAATAGAGCTGCCCTGGTTAGTAAGAGACTTTGTTATCATCTTGTTGACTAAAATTTGATTCTTAAGTGAGATTATGATCACAAGATGCTTCTCGGCAAAATTTTCAATCCTAATACAAATAATCTGTTTGTCATTAAGCAGATGCAATACTAAAAGTCATAGAATATCGTTTGGTCCTTTGAGCATAAACCTTTTCATATTTTAGAGAATCATTTTAAGAAAAACACTGAGAGATCTACAGATAGAAGACATGCATACATACATGGATACATTAGTGCCTCCATATGCCCATAATTTGCAAGGTTTCCAAACATACATGGATTTGAAATCATCCGAGCAATACCCACTAACGGTCACATGGGGCTTCAAAGCTTAATTTTTCTGAAACGTGAAAGCATTTAAACCAAATCTGCAGTCTCACTTTCTACATAATCCCATGCCATGCTGCTCTTTTCACTGCACTCGGTCTCTCCTCAGCTCCCACGCTCACTTCTTCCCCATGGAAACCTTTAGAAGATCTCCGTTGAAGCCTTGGAAGAAAGGTCCAATCAGAGGCAAAGGCGGTCCTCTGAATGCCTCCTGCCAATACCGGGGAGACCCGCAACGGACTTGGGAAAAATGGGTGGCAGAAATCAGGGAACCCGAGAAAAGAACCAGACTCTGGCTTGGTTCTTTTGCTACTGCAGAGGAAGCTGCCATGGCTTATGATGAGGCTGCAAGGAGACTCTATGGACCTGATGGTTACCTCAGTCTCCCCCACCTTCAACCCAACTCAAATTCTCATCCTCCAAACAGATTCAAATGGATTCCTTCAAAGAACTTCATCTCCATGTTTCCTTCTTGTGGCCTTCTCAATATCAATGCCCAACCTAGTGTTCATGTTATCTATTAGAGGCTTGAAGAACTCAAGAAGAATAATGGAGCTCTGAACAAATCTTCTTCTTCTTCTAGTTCATCTTCATGTGAATCAGAAACTGATACTCAGATCATAAGCAAGAAGAGCAAGAGCCAGAGCCAAATAGAAAATCTGACAACCAAGGAGAAAGATGTAGATATTTCGTCAACAGAGGAAATGCTGTAGACTGAGGAACCACAGATTGATCTAAATGAGTTTCTTCAGCAGCTTGGAATAGTGAGAGAGGAAAAGCCGTCACAAACAGAAGGAATAGGTGAAATTCCTACAGAGAATTTACCAGAGTCAGTGATGGATTCTAACTTAAAGAGATTTTGAAGAAATTGCAGCCTTCACAGAGAAGAGTTTCAACTGGGATGCTGTGATAGAGCTGAATGGAATTGGAGCAGATCAACAAGGAGCCAATCACAGCTTCCATGTTCATGATATTCAAGAGGAGCTAACCTGGCCTACATCCATTGGGAACTTCTAAAATTAGTAATAAATAGATCTCTTGATCTTTAGTTAAGTTAGGTACTATGATGTTTAGCAGTAGTGCAGGTTGCATTGCCACATCAAGATGGCATTTTTATCCATTTCTGTAAACTTATTAATGGGACAGGGTAGGATATTGCTACTAACCACCAGTAATCAAACTTCTAAAAGTAGTCGTGGAAAAGTAAAGGGAATCACACCAAAATTTTTACTTAGAAAACCCAAATTGGGAAAAATCTTGGGACCTAGTCCAGATCAAAATCATCCCCTATAAAGATAATCCGCATGTAGAGAATGGGTACAAGTATAACATACATAAAAAATGCTGTCAGCAACTAAGGGTCTCAACACTTGGGTCCTGAGTGTTGACACTATGCACAAACCACAAATTCTTGATCCTTGAGCCTTGAGATATAGGTGCCAATATCTTTGCTACAGTGCCAATTCTCTCTCCTCCACTTGGTCACTAGGTTTTGACTACCCAAGGATTGACACCTTCCAAAGTCCATCACAAGCCACAGCAACAACACTAGGATAGTGGGTGCAACATATAGCCTCAAAACATCAATTTCCCAGCTCGTATCCTCATTGCTTCTCAACATCTGAAGCAACAGTTGATATTTCTACACCCTTTGGCTTATATCCTCATTGCTTCTCAACATCTTTTGTAAGACAACCTGAAATATAGTTGAAATTTATAAGAGCAAACAATCTATGTATTGATCAGTTTGTCAACAGGATGGAAGCCTAAAGTAAGGATATAACTTACAACATGGTACACTCTATAGCACCTGTGCAGCATGTTGGGTAATAATTCCAATATCTGAACCCTGGACTCCACTCTCAGCAAGTCTTTTTGCTAGTTTGTACCCTGAAATAGAAATCTCAGCTCCACCTTCATTCAGTGTGCTATCTTCTTCATGCTTCTTTTCTTACATATTCCACTGAAGCAAACGAAACATGATCCTTTTATTATAAATTTACAATGATTGTATATAGCAAAATTTCCTAGAATCTACGGGTCTCACTAAACCTTAAGTAAATCAATCAACTCAATATTTACCATTCTGAAATTTGAGATGTTTCTTGTGAAGTAGAATGTCAACTGAACCTTACATTTACACACCAAAAATTCTTCCCTATTTTTCAAAAATAAAGCAGTATTACTTTGGCTTTGTAAAGCAAAATTATCTACACAGTGCACTCTCTTGTAGAGGAACTAGCCTCCAAATGATATACATCTTGAAACCTGAAACAAAAATAATGATCACAAGTGAGGCTTGCACAATTAATATGACTATCTAAGCTAGGTCGTTGAACTGCATTGCATTACAGTCAATTCTATTCTATTGGGTTTCAATCAGTTTCAATTTTCAGTTCTCAACTCAAAACTGAATTTAAGAATGCAAATCATGTAAGAGAAAGTGATAGCAACCAATGCATTCAGTTCTTATGAATTGTAACTTAACAGGAAAACATTAAACCCTCCACTCCAACCAAAAAAAAAAAAAAAAGAAAGAAAAAGGTACACCATTTGTCATCTGAAAAGAAAAAGAACTTAGAAAGTAAACAATTGCACGCCTTAGAGAAATCAAAGTGGAAGTTAAAAGGGGAGAACGTTACGTCCTTCTTTCACAATGTTGGCAGTCTCTCTCCAGACAAGACAGGAACTATATTGGCAGCAGGTCCCTTTAGCACACCTTTGCTCAACTGTATCAAGGCATACTTCATCCTACAATATGTCACCTACATCAACAAATTAATTTGGATTTCTTTATTCTTATAAGCTTAAATCAATAAAAGTGTAAAACATAGTAATAAAATTGATTACAAATCAATATCAAGGAAGTGTCTCACTGAGAATTCTATACTAGTTCCATTACATTCAGGCTTGTGAAGAAGTGTGTACAACAATTAAAGCCACCATGAGAAGCAGAGAAGCTGTTGAAGAATTTTAATAGCAAACCTAGTTTGACACATTTTCTAGACGGAAGGGACTATTTAAATCTTCTTTTGGGATGTTATCAAAAGCAACAGTGGTTAAGGAATCCTGTTCAATATGCACATGAAATCAGCAACAGAAGAGTTCAAGGGAATCACACATAACTAGAAAAAACAAAATGAACTTAGTAGCCCAAATATCTTTCAAAACTCACAATTACCTTTAGCCAGTAAACTACACCTCGTCGAAGAGCTCCTGAATCAGCCATGTTTGGTTTTAATACAACTACATCATGGGTGCCAAACTGCACTGCAAAAAGATTAAAAAAATTACAAATAGGAAGAATTAAACAAAATGAAAACTGTGTTCTCTGACAACAAACAACTAAAGGGGGAAATTTATCATCTCCAACCTCCACCATACCAGAATTTATACCAGAGGTTGTCATGATCAGGCAGACAAAACACCATCCAGCCTAAGCATTCTTAAGTTACTTTTTGTGCCATATATGATATTGTGTTTTTAGTTTTTCCCCCTTTCTTTTTCTTTTTATTTTCAATAACAACTATACAAGTTATTTGATTAATCAACTGCATTTCACCCCAAACTCCTCTACACAGAATTACTAATCTGACATTTACAAGGAACCCAAAATTCCATTGGAATTGCATCCTAACACCAAATCCAACACACAAAATGCCAATACAATTGAGTTCAAAAAAATCCCCGGACCTAAAAGACCTAACTAAATAGACCATTTTAATAGCAACTGGGACTCCAAGATTCAGCTAGAAGATAAATAAATCATTTTGATATTTTTGTAATTCAGATCCATGGCACCTTTAACAGCAAAACCTTGAAGAAGTTGTGCCATTATCAATTGGACTGATTCAAAACATTAATGATTGAAAACCTAAACCAAAAGATTGGCAGCGGGCACTCTTACCAGTTACAGAAAATGATACAACTCACAATGCACTAAAAATTGAGAATTGCGAAGCCCCTCTTTTGAGAAGTATCCAAATTCCTTGATGCCCCTGAAGAGATAGAGGGGGATATCTCAGGTTCCTGATTCAACAAAAAAAAGTCAGTTAATTAATCCATATTTCGCCCATGTTCCTTTCTATCTCATTTTGCAGTTCATGAATTAAAAATTTCTAGAAATAAAAGTAGACTAAAGCGAAGATGAACCTTTTCCACATCGATTAGATGAGCCATGGTGTAGATGAACTGTTGCAGAGTGACAATAGGTGATTTCTTCTTCATCTTCTTCATCGATGTCACCAATCGAAGTTACGGAAGCGTAGAAGGACAGCCTTTGCATCGGGATGGTCCCACTCCAACGATTCCCACCATGATTCCCCCCATTTTTGTGGCCATACATTGATTTGTTTGAGGAAAGGAGGAGGAGATGGTTGTCCGTTATCAAGCAGGGGAAGATAAAGAGGGATCCTCCTAAGGCCCTGGCAATTCACGATCTGAATCTCTTCGAGAGAATCACATACCATTACTGCCCTCCTGCTACAGATGCTCTTCAATGCGGGCAATTCTTTCAATTTCAAACTTTTTAATTTTGGAAGAATGACCCCTTCTTTTTTTCCTCCTCCTTCTGCATCCCATACTATTATTTCTTCCATCTGATTGCAATATCCAATGTTAATTTCTTCTAGACTCTGGAGATTCATCCAAAAGGGGAACAACGTCTTTATTTTATGACAGTGCCGAACACTTATTGTTTTAAGAGATGAAAAAGTGTCAGGTGGTATTGGTGACTTAGTACTTGCCTCTGCTTCAAAAAGGGCTTCCAAGTTTTCCAAACTAAAAAGATCCAGAGCCTCAAGCTTTTGGGCCAGTAGATTTATGGACGAGGAAAAAACACACTTCACGCCATTGCAGTCCCGAATCCTACAGCACTTCAATTCTTCTGCGTCTTTAGTGGAAGAGATATCATTTAAGCTTCTTAAGTAGTTGCATCCATTAAGAACTAATTCTTGTACGGATGGTGGCACCCAAGTATTCTCTACATCAATATCGGTCAACTCTAACCTTTTAATACGCCCTTCTACTAATTTGGAAGGAAACGAATGATATCTTCCACAGAATTGTAGAAGTACACGCTCTGC